CTATCATTTTCAGAATCATTTTCGAAAACAGGAATGGTAAAAACGAAACCCTAATTTTTTTTTTCTTCGGCTTTTGGAAATGATTTTGGAAGCGTGGTTATAAAATGGGGAGTTTGTCAGTTGATGGGAGGATAGATGGATAACGCTTCTGATTGCCGACATGGAAAAAAATGAAAAACAAAGAAAAAAATAATAATTCCAATTTTTATTTCTTTTTTCGTTTTTAGGATTGATTTTAAACGCGTGGAGATAAAGATGGGCAGCTTGTGAGTTGATGGGAGGGTAGATGCGGACATAAAAAAAAGCGAAAAACAAAGAAAAAAATAATAATTCCAATTTTTATTTCTTTTTTCGTTTTTAGGATTGATTTTAAACGCGTGGAGATAAAGATGGGCAGCTTGTGAGTTGATGGGAGGGTAGATGCGGACATAAAAAAAAGCGAAAAACAAAGAAAAAAAAGATAACTCCAATTTGAATTTCTTTTTTTGCTTTTGGAAATGATTTTGGATGCGCGGCGATAAAGATGGGGAGTTTTTGAGTCGATGGGAGGATCGACGGATAACGTGTCGTATTATCGACGTGAGAAAAAAAAGCGAAAAACAAAAAAAAAGAGTCGAGGGTCATGAGGGTCACTTAGGGGAGAGTCAAGCATCACAAGGGTCACTTGAGGAGAGTCGAGCATCATGAGGGTCACTTGGGGGAGAGTCAAGTGTCACGGGGGTCACTTGAGGGGAGAGAGAAGCGTCACGAGGGTCACTTGAGGGGAGAGTGGAGCATCATGAGGGTTACTTGGGGTGAGTCGAGGGTCATGAGGGTCACTTGGAGGAAGAGTGAAGCGTCACGAGGGTCACTTGGGCGAGAGTCGAGGGTCGCTTAGGGGATAGTCAAGCATTACGAGGGTCACTGGAGGGAAGAGTGAAGCGTCACAAGGGTCACTTGGGGGTAAGTCGAGGGTCATGAGGGTCACTTGGGGGAGAATCGAGGGTCATGAGGGTCACTTGGGGGAGTTCGTGAGTGGATGGGAGGGTAGATGGATGACGTGTCTGATTACCAACGTGAAAAAAAAGCGAAAAACGAAGAAATTAATTGCAATTTTAATTTCTTTTTTCGCTTTCGGAAATGATTTTGGAAGATAGTCCATACAGACTATTCAGTCCAGAAGGTTTTATAGTTGGATTATATGTTTTTGAAGGTGCTGATTCTGAATATGAAGTCCGTTTTTGCCAAAGCAGGTGTCTTCTATTTGTTCATAACAATTTAATTGTTTAAAAGGAGATATTGCAAAAACTGTCGGAGATACAAAAGAAGTTGACAAACAAAAATTGTTCGTCATTTTAAAATACGAATTTTTTGTCATAGACAGTAACATTTTTGTCATATGATAAGATTATGACAATATTTGACCGACAACAAATGCCATACAGTGTCAGAATTTGTCAGAATGTATAAGATATTGTCATATTTTCGATGAGAAATTATGACATTATCTGACCGACTCGTCCCAAATTCCGAAGAAATTACGTCAATTTCTGACGAAATTAGTCAAATTCTTGAAGAATATAACGAATTCTGACAAATTCTAATAAATTCTGACATCATTTCTACGCAATTTTTTCACATAATTTGTGAGAATCGTACATTTGATATCATGATTGCTCAAAATCCGACAACCCGATTCCCACGAGGGTCCGGTAGTTCAACTGCTATGGTTTTTAGTAGGGACGTATCAGTGTATTTGTGATAGGCAAAGTTGTGCAGGATGGCTTTCATACGAATGATCATATTTGGAATATTTACTACCGGATGTTCCTTATGCGAAAATGAACGAAGTAAATGAAAAGAAAATATTTAATGAATATTCAAACAAGTAAATGGGTTATCTCATTTCCAAAATCTGCGAGTCTCATTCATAAAAAATGCGATAGCACTTGATATCACGTCATTCACATCAATAATCATCGCCGAAAATGTCGCACTCGATATTGCGTAAATTACCTCAGTGACTGTCGCACTTGATATCGCTTCAATTACCGCATTGATTGTTACCGCAGGTGTTGCACTTGAAATCGCGTCAATCACCGCAGTGACAGTCGTCACAGATATCACATTCGCTACTGCCTCAATCACCGCAGTGACCATCGCTGAAGGTGTCACACTTAATATCGTGTCAATCACCGCTATCACCTAAATTACCTCAGTGACTCCCGAGTGGAAATTCTGTTCAGGTCTCGATCAGAAACTGATCAAGTTCGATCTGAAATTCTGAGCAGGCATGTTACGCCTCCGCCTTACGTTTTTCCACTAGGGTTTCTCCACCTACCATCATTAAGCATTAATTAAATTTAATTTTTTTGAGAGAAAAAATTCGTAACCTCCTAGCCGGGAATCGAACCCGGGATCTCTCAATGTCGCGTCGGGTGCTCTTAACATCTGAGCTACCAGGACACTTACGAATTTCACTCTCAAATTGACTCATACCCGAGTGGAAATTCTGTTCAGGTCTCGATCAGAAACTGATCAAGTTCGATCCGAAATTCTGATCGTGTTACACCTCCACCTTATGTTTTTCCACTAGGGCTGTCGCACTTGATATCGCTTCAATAACCGCATTGACTGTCGCCACAAAGGTCGCACTTGATATCGCCTCAATCACCGCAGTGATCATCGCTGAAGGTGTTGCGTATGATATCGCTTCAATAACCGCATTGACTGTCGCCACAAATGTCACACTTGATATCGCCTCAATCACCGCAGTGATCATCGCTGAAGGTGTTGCGTATGATATCGCTTCAATAACCGCATTGACTGTCGCCACAAATGTCACACTTGATATCGCCTCAATCACCGCAGTGACCATCGCTGAAGGTGTTGCGTATGATATCGCTTTAATTACCGCATTGACTATCACCATAAGTGTCGCACTTAGTATCGCCTAAATTCCCGCAGTGAATGTCGCCACAGGTGTCGTACTTGATATCCCCTCAATCACCGCAGTGATCATCGCTGAAGGTGTCGCATATGATATCGCTTCAATTACCGCATTGGCTGTCGCCGTAAGTATCGCACTTGATATCGCCTAAATTACTGCACTGGATGTCGCCACAGATGTCGCACTTGACATCGCGTCAATCATCGCAGTGAGCATCGCTGAAGGTGTCGCATATGATATCGCTTCAATTATCGCATTGGTTGTCGCCATAAGTGTCGCACTTGATATCGCCTAAATTACCGTAGTGGATGTCGCCACAGGTGTCGCACTTGATATCGCGTCAATCACCGCAGTGACCATCGCTGAAGGTGTCGCATATGATATCGCTTCAATTACCGCATTGGCTGTCGCCATAAGTGTCGCTCTTGATATCACCTAAATTACCGCAGTGAATATCGCCACAGGTGTTGAAGTTGATATCATTTTTCCACCTGAATAATCATATTTGGATTATTTACTTACGGGGTATCCCTCATGCGGAAATGAACGAGGAGTAGATTGAAAAAAAAAATTCATGAATATTCAAACAAGTGAATGAGTTACCTCATTTCCAAAATCTGCGAGTGTCACTCATGAAAAATGATATCGCCTCAATTAGGTACCACAGTGACTGTCGCCACGAAACTGGTTTTATCGATTTTATGTCATTATTATTGTTTTTCAAATTTTTTCCAATGTTTTAATTTTTTTCAACTTTTTTCATTTTTTTTATTTTAGTAAACAAATCTATACTTACCATCAAGATCCTTCCCGTTTAAGCACTCCAGCTAAATTATCACAGTGTGAACTCGAGACCATTTATTCACGAATCCTACTGGACACAGCCCATCAAAAAAACCAATCAGCTCGAAGTTACGTGATTGACGCTTCGATTGCGTCGTCGATTACCTTGATCGCATCATCTGTTTGCGACAAATGGTTGAAAATGGTTCAGAATGATTGTAAAAACCGTGGAACGTGAATATACGATCAAAAATAGATTTTTAATTGCCGGAGTGATTTTCCCAACCCGTGAAGTTAGATCCGAGAGACTGAAATTATCGGAAACGTTTAAATTTATCGGAAAATTTGAGGATTATTTATTCACAAATTGCTCGGAGAATTGGTATCGATATGTCGACAGGTGGATCGAAAATAGGAGTGATAACCCAGAAAAATTATAAGTAGGATATCGAGACTAGTTACTCCGACTAAGTAGCAGAAATAGCCGAACAATTTTCGGATTTTAAATAGCCGTAATTCTTCCGATAAAACATTTTTTCGTTATGCTGATAAAATAAGGGATAATCTTGACCTTATTTCATTTGTAGAGCGAAAAAAACGCTCGATGGAAGATTCGATAATATGCGGTTCGAGAGGCCTGATCAGTTCTCCGTTGACATATTTTTTCAGTATGTGAATAGGTTTTTGTAGTCCATTTTTTTATCTGAATTTCATCAGTATGTTCTAGAGGAGTGTTTGGAAATTTATAGAACCCTGGAAGTGCTCCCACTACCGAAAAAGTGAGGGCAAGTGTCTGATTGCAATATTCGACATTACTCAGCGCAAGAAACTCGATCGGTTTTACGGTGATATATTTCTTCTATGAGAAAATTGGTTGAGAGTTTGAGGAGAATGATTCTGCAGCGATTCATGGACTGATGATATTAATTTATTGCAATTATCTTCCAACTATATGCCTGACAAACAATTCTTAATTACCAGATAATTATTTCATTCCAAATTATAAAGTCATGTATTTGAATCTTCCCAAATGATTGTCTCACTACGTGAATAATAGATGGAAAAAAATTATCGTCTAAGTAACAGGAAATTTTACCAACTCATTATCACCAAATGTTCCTCCAAATTTTAGCGCCAATTTTTGGAGCTAAAAACAGCAGCAGTCGCAGGCCAGCCGCCTCCCGAATGAGTTGACAGTGGGAATTAATTTTTTAATGATTAATCAAACAATTGATTTTTGATGTGTCACTAGCGTATGGGGCGCGCTACGCGCGCCTTTACCCAGAGTATGGTTGTCTATGTTTCTTTTAGTACAAAGGTATGGTTCCGAGCAAATTCATGTCCGGTTCAATTTTATCTATTTGTTCTGACCTTTTTTACTTTTCATATTTGATTTACAAAAAAAAAAAATTATTCTTATTATTATTACTCTTATCGTCGATTTCACACTTTTCCTTTATTTTATGATGAGTTTTTTTTCCGTCAATTATTTAGGAATTATTTAGTCATCATTTTTTATTTAATGGTCTTCTACTGAAGTTGATGACTTATAAAAAAAAAATTAATTCAAAAATTGAAAAGAAACTAAAAAACTTTTTTTTAAAAATACAACATCATATAATTTCTAACCCGGTGACAAAAAACGTTACATTGGATTTTTTATAATGGATAACTGTGGGCTCATAATACAAATTAGTACACAAAATCTGAGATGTCTAGTCCAAGTTTTACGCGTATTATGGACACTACATTAACTTTAAAATGAAAAATGTCGATTATTATTAAACTGATCCTAGTAACGTCGTAATATTATGATGTTTTTCGATAGATATTATCGTAAGGAATACTTTCCCGCCAAAAACTTCAATTCGGTCACGTAGTTTTTGAGATATTGAACAAGAAAGATTTTGAAGAAATTGCTATATCTCGGAAACTACTGGGCCGATTGAGCTGAACTTGCGCCACACATGCTCCAAAATAATACCAAATATACGACAAAATTTCAGATTTTCAGCTCAAACTTTAGTTCTTTTTTTGGGGGGATTTATAAAAAAATTCTGAAAAATCGGTATACACATTCGGAGATACATACACACATTTTCTAACAACATCATATTTTCACGTTTCGTGATATGCTGTGATGATGACCAAGACTTTAAAATGGTTAGGTCTCAACATTCTACCCGGCCGGGTTTTGAACTCGGAACCTTTCGCATGTGAGGCAACGAGCTTACCCACCGCGCCAAGCCACCGGGATGGCAAATTTAGATTGAAAAATAGAAGAAAGAGGAAAACGAAAGTGGCTGAAAAATCTAAAAATAATTTCAAGAAAAATTCCTCTCTTGGAGACATTCCATGAAGGATCAAGGTGCATCCTGATTTTTTTTCAAATTTTTCAATCAACATTTTCATACATCATTCACATTTTGTGAATAAAATGGACTTTTTGGTGTTGACGGAGAATCAGCTTTTCCGTGATTCAACTTTGAGCGCGCTTGGCGGCTTAACGGTTGAAATTAGGAATATGCTGCTAGTGACTTATTTCTAGGAAATTTAATGCTCTACAAATCATGTCTTATGGATTTTTATCCTATCTATTGCGGTTTCACCAACGTAAAGGGAAGTACGTCACGTGGATGCCCACTTTTGCAGTTTTGAATTTTTTTAAACAATTTTCCGGTCCGCTAGAATTCCAAAAAATTGGTATGTGTTTCATATCATTTTTCCGTATGATATGCGGTGGTTGTCATCCTTGTTCTAGGATTCTTGATTTCAAAGTCGTAATTTGACTGGCCTATCACCATTATATACTTCAGCCACCACACAGATACGGACCTCTCTAACCGTACCCTTTGAGTGACCAAACTTTATTCATTAATATCTTTTGAATGAAACTAGGGATTGCAAACCATTATTGGACTTTTCGATTCAGAATTTAACCTCCAACCCTCCATGTCAGGGAATACCTCCTTTTAGGACATCCTGTATAATGCATATCTTTTCAAGTTTATAAATATATTTCACATATCTATTCATTTCCATGCGAGCATTGGGATTCAAAATAGATGATGAATCCTTCATACATTCTGTTCTTACCAGTTTCAAGTTGCTCTACGAAAAACGTATTCTTCAAAATAGATATCCAAAAGATGTCTCGAAGAATATTCATTTAAAATTCATCATTTCCACGTTCAAGATTTCCTTCATCATTCAAGATGATCTTACCAATCAAAGATTCAATTTTTTTATATTCAATTCCAGGAAGGAATTGGGATCGTTTCTGCGCCGCAAGTACAATTCCCATCGAATCCAGTTGAGGCAATGGATAGACTTCTCGAGTACTCATTTTTGAAAGCGTGCAAAAAGATAAAGAAATCCGAGCTTCCCATTCTGAGTTCAAATTTCTTCAAGAATCATCTAATTCCCGCTTGCCCACCTAATGAATGTTTAGACATGAAAAAATCGACTTACAAAAAATTGTCGGTCTTCCTAGCCAAAATGAAGTCAACGAAAGTAATCGACACGATGATAGCTAAAGGTGTTGAAAGTATAGTATACATCCAGAGTGAAAACTCATTATTAAAAGAATTGGTGATAAACGAAGAGTCAGAAGAATCATCAGAAAGGCCTTCTAATGCACCCGTTGTAGCTGAGTGCTATAAGATCACCGCTGACGTAAGTCCAATTCTTTCAAAATTTGGGTACGAAAAGGGTCATATCATGAAGCGACCGGAGATCCGAAAATGTTTCATGGATTACGTGAAAAAGGAAAATCTGCAGGATGGCAAGTTGTTAAAATTGAACCCTCAACTGGCTGGAATGTTCAAGACTAAGGAAAATGTTGTGACTTTGACAATGGAGGATGGAATCAACAAATTTATTGGGCGTATGACGCATACGCATGAAATAACGGTTGCTGGCGCGACTGTTCTGCATGTTGGAAAATTAGAACCCATCGATATTACTGTGACAACTCGATGTAATAATAAAAAAGTCACCTTGGTTAATAATTTAGAACAATTTGGTATAAGGCTTGATGAGTTTAGTAAAGAGTGTCAAGGTATCGGTGCTAGTGCTACCGTCACAGATGTCGCTGGGAAAAAGACGCCGAGTGTTCTTGTTCAAGGTAATCAGGTGATTCATGTTTATAAGTTATTGATGGAAAATTACAGGATAAATAAGAATTATATACGAGGATTGGAGTTTGCTCCCAAGAAACGAAAATGATTCTTTTTCATATTGGAATAATTATAATAAGGTAGGTCATATATGTTATCAACGATAATTTGTTTGTCGATTTTGAGAGGAATTTATAAAAATAAAACGAATAAATAGAAAATTCTATGAAATTATTGCACTAGTGTTCAAATTTTTTCTATATATGCTGTGACGAGGCATATTCATTTATTTTTTATTATTTTTCTACATATTTTTTCCCACTACACACTGCCCCCTAAAATGTAAATCCCGCCACCGTTGGATACCCCTTCCCTCACTTTTCCCCTCATCGCCCCTCTACCCCTGCCCCTGGACATCACGAAGACATCAGCCGAAGGAAGACATCAGTTCCGGCCCCACCCGATTAATTGGAGAAGCCATCGCCTCCTGGAAATTCCCCATACTAGACCCCCGAATATTCACCACCAGCAATAATCCCTTGCGAGACATCCCTGGATTGTGGTCATCGTCACCACTCACCCGTGCTGATTGGCCCCGATTGCTCCCGAATTAAAACCCGAAGGACATCGACACCTGACGAACCCCCACGAATCGCGAAGGAAAAGAAGAGACCGTCACTCGTGCGTTAGCTGCCCCGTGAGTCGCCACGTGCCCCGAAAGTAGTAATAGTGAATACAGTAAAATTCGCCCGGAAGTATTGGCGGATAAAAAGAGGATTTTCGATACATCGAGCTCATGCCAGCTCTAGTATTGGTACCCAGGAAACCCCGAGGTGGAAAGGAGGCTCCCCAGGAAAACGCCCTGGTATTTTGAAGGAGTGCAAGGCGCCGGTGGAATTCCACGTGTTCGCCAGAGTGAAGTCCCATCGTGAGTACGAGTTACCCCCCTCATTTTCCCTCTTGTCCCCACAATATTACCCTTCATACCCCCCAACGGTGAGCCTACACTCTTTTGTTTCTTCCCCATTCAGTTATTATTTGGATATTTAGTTGCATTCCCTTGACACGATTAGCTTCTCCCCTTTTATCTGCATTAGAGTCATCCCCTTTTTACGTGTACAAAAGTTGCCTGGCCTTATCCATAACCCTAGATCCAAGTAAAAGGCATTTCAAGCGTCTTACGACGATCTATCATGTAAATTAATAGAAATATAGATATTCAGTTAATTTTATCCCTCATTTGTCCTCATTATTTAATTGCTCTAAATCCCCCTTTTAGGAAATAATAATGATTAAATATTGAAAGGTTACAATGCTTGTCTGTTGTGACGTAATGCCGGAGGTTCACGGAACCCTCTGTCCACTACGCAGCCCTCCGGCACTCAAGTAAACGTTGAAACTACAAATATTGGGCGCAGGTTGTTTTCACCAGAACGGCCACTAAAACAGAAAAATTACGACTTCAAAATCAAAAACGATAGAAGAAGCATGAACGTATGTAATGCGCACAAATGATATGAAGAACATATAAAATTTTAGAGATTGTAGCGTATGACGACATTTTCCGAAATGAACCAAACAAAATCCAAATCCTCCATCCGCAGAAAATCCTTGAAACGAAGACAATCAGAATTTGGCCCTTTTGGCCTCTCCTGCTCCGACTTTTCCAAAATTCTCCAAAACTAAATCGATGTACGAAGGTGCTAGTTACTCTTGCGAGAAACTGTCGTTGGGGGCCAGCGGACTTTCAACACCACGCAATCAACAAAACCGCAACCGTAGGTTGAAGGGAACGGGAGAAACGAAAACCGGAAGTTGGGAAAATGGGAGGGACACTTTATGGAATTACCCTAGCTATCTCAGGGGGACAATCAGAAAACGGGGTAGGATCAGTTCCTCGGTCTTAGGAAAGGGGTCACAAATGTAATGAAATATGAAGAAATCCAATCAGAAAGAATCGAATTAAAATTCCCCCAATTCTCTAGAAAATCGGAAAATTCAAAAATAAAGAAACTTTGATTAAATGAGAGTAAATATCTTGCATATCATCTAACCATATGATCCAAACAACCTCAAAATTCTAATTTTTATTCATAAAAAATTATTCAACGAGAGTGAGAGTACGTGATTGATCTTGGGAGAGATTTACGCCAGGTAGGATAAAGAGATGGGATTGTGCACGTATGATCACATTGCATCACCCGAAATTGGAGTACATGGAGATCTATCAGCGCACTAGAGTAGAGGGTACCCGATCTGGGAAGACAGTTTCCCCCCTCCCCTCTGTCTGGCACCAGCGCGAGGGAGAGGGTGTCTGGCGGGACCGTTTGTCGGCAAACGGTGGAGGGGAAAAGTTCCACGTGTACCGGTGGTGAGTGTTAAGCCTGTTGATAGAGGGTCGAGGGTGGAAGGTGGGTGGGGGGTGGGAAGTAGGCGGGGCGATTGAAATGACTAGATAAATTTTATGATGAAAAGATAATTTATTCTATATAATTGATTCAATATAATTAAATTGAGGATACATATTGAGGGTAATTCTACCGTTACCGAATAACATGGTGAATGATTTTTTACTATTTCGATATTTATTTTTTTTCTTGTCAACAATATTTTTAAACATAATTGATATAATATTATCAGTAGTGAAGAGTTTCTGGATTAAACATGGAGAATTATTATTACAAAGCTAATGTAACATACAGATACAATAATGACCGCAAAGAATAGGAGAAAAGTCTTCAAGTCTTTTATTATTGAATTTACATAATCGGCAATTTCGCCACAATAAATGTCTGATCGGTGGTCGGAAGGCGGTAGTCCGAAGTTATCGAAATAGACTCCCTATTCCCTTGGGTTAATGTAGAAGGCAACCCAGTGGGTACCTGGTTGCGTATGGTCATCAGTGTTTGTGATTATTGCGCAGGGTCTTGGTCAATTCCTGGGGATTTGATCTGCCGCATAAACCCCGCCAGTCGAGACATCGGAGTATGGCAATCTTTTCAATAGTTGAGATATATTCATAAGCGTGATTCTTGAAGTGAAGCAGTTTCCAATGCATCTATTTGTTCAAGAGTTAGATTATCAACTTCGTCAACCCTTTGACTTTCAGAGCTGGAATTGTAATCCACAAAGTTTCGTAGTTTCTCTAGATCGTGTCGAGAAATTTCATTGCATGTGAATGAGTCAAAATTGACTCTTTTCTTTTTCTCTCTTTCTCCAAGTATCCAGGCTTTCAGTTTATAAACGTTCTGGTGAGCACGCCTGAACAATTCACAGGTAACGAAGCCGTGAAAGAGACACAGTTGGCGTGGTTCTTCCAAACGTTTTAACGAAGGACAGTAGATTCCCCAATTCACAATTGGTACCGATATAATCTTGGACAGGTAAGCACGTTTCTTTTCCCCTCTCACGTAGAAAACAGATGCGTTAGCTGTAGCTCGGCTCAATAGCAAAGTGACACTGTATGCAGGCACCTCTCCGTCTGTCCAACTTGGACGATGATGATGACGAGATAATAAGTCATCGTACCTTCTGATTACACAACTTAATTCAGAAAAGCGTCAAGGTGGCCCATCCACCCACAAATCACCATATGGATTATCAACAGACAATGTAGATATTTTTTCAGGTAAAAACTCTTCGTGAGCACCAACGAAGGCCTGGATGTCGATAACTATTTCTTCAATGAAAAAATAACTCCACTTGAAGACTCGGTTCACAATAATTGTATCTCGGAAGTATTCGAAAGAAACATTCACATTGTAACACGAAGCATGCGCGCTCAGATCAACGAAGTGTCTAAAAAAGGTAATGAAGAGGTGGATAACCCTCCTGTCATCATAAAAGAACCGAACTCCACAAGAGTACGTTCCCATAACAAGAATCACGTTATAATGTGGTAAAATTTTTGCTGGGGCAAAAATGAACGTTATGTCGCCGTTTTCCCTTGGTAAAGTCAGAAAACTGAAACTCGATGATTGTGGGCGCCAGTTGTTCTTTGTCTCGACGAAAACAATAAACCGGAATTAGGTCGAAGCGGAAAAATACAACGAAAACCCAAGATTCAAAAACACAAAAAAAAACTTGAATTTAAGGGGCCAAGGGAAAGGTGACAGGGTGCTCGCGCTGCTCAGGGGGTCGGTTGTGGAGAGAGGGGTAGGTCGAGGTGGAAACAGGTTATCGGGCTCTTATTCTCAAAAAAGGAAACACGAAGCTAAATTTTAATGCTGAAATGTAGATGGCTATATTGTTCGTAAATTTACAGAATAGATGTACTCAAATTCACCGCAAAAGAAATCAACACTAAATATTCCATATAATACTGAACTCAATAAAAAAAACAAATTTTTCCCTAAGAGAGAGAAATAGAAGATTTAAACAATGGCAATAAAAGAATGCACAATTGACTCGATAAATTTTGAATAGATAAAGAACCAGAAATAGAGCCAACATCAAATTAATTCTCTAAACTTCTATCCCTATACGAATGACCGAAAACGCGACGGGAGACGCAAGGAAAATAATACCGGAAAACTGAGAACTCAGTAACTAGGCCAAGATCGGCATAAACAATCATCCCGACCAAATGAATTAATTCTGATCAAATCCCGAGTTGAGCGCAATTAATAAACCCGAAAGGAATCCGAATAAGGCGCGATGTAGCGCGATATACGTATCGAAATTATACTCGCATTCCTAACACAATAAATTGGGATTTGCTTCAACGAAAGCATACGCAGTCAACACTCGAAATATCGAATACGCCAAATACGGCACTCTATACTCAATGGAACTTGACCTCGAGTCCCTAACAGCCAGAACGGCACAAAATTCCTACATCTGATTTCACTAAGACGGCACGAACACTCTAATACTTTGAAAAGCATTGGAAGAAGCACAATTAATCCACAAAACCAAGGCTCGAGAACGAATGGCGTAACTAGGAGAAAAAAATACAACTTAACGAGTCGCAAATCCAAAGAAAACTAGGCGTAACTGTACGCAAATGGAATCGCAAGTTAAAGCCGAAGTATTAAATACTAACGATATAACCAGCATAATTTCTAAAGAAATAATACACAATGACTCTAGACGATACGCAAATCAAAAACCTGTCGGCTAAATAATACAATAATTGTAGGCACAATACGGCAAAGAAACAAATTAATTTCTCAAAACGAGATAAGTTGAATAAGCGAAAGCATCAGAACCAGGC